ATCCTAATCTACATAGACTACATTTCGGTCAGCAGTGTTTACTCCAAGTGTTAGTTTTTGGTGGATATAAATAGTTTGTGATTTGGCACTCTTTTCCATAACAATCAAAAGACTTTGCCTCGCATATATACTGATTGTTTGCAAATTTTGATATAAACAAAGTGATATTTTTTAAATCACACATACGACCCTTTTGTAATTAAAAACTTGATTGACCTTTTCATTTGAAAATTCTTTTTCATGTGGTTTGTAATAAGCAATGACAGACACCTTTTGTCTGTTTTGAAATCACAATTACAATTCAAGGATTTTGACTAGAAATTAACACAAAATTGTTTTATTTTGATATTGCATTCACGCGTTAGAGTTTATTGTAAGATTTTATAATATTTTTTTCAAATGAAACACGACATGGTTTTGACGAACTATTGAAACAAAAACGGTTTTTGAATAACAATTTTATTAAATAATTTCCAAAATTCAAAACGATAATATCTGATTGAATTCTTGATGTAAAAAATGACTCAGCTAATTATTAAAAACCAAAAGTTTAAACAATAACAGTCTGTGTTCGTTTTTTTAGTAAATATTAAGTCAATATCAAATTAAGTGATATATTTAACGTTGAATATTATGATAAGGTTACTTATTTTTAAGAGACAGTTGTCGAAGTAATACATTAAAAAACAGACGAGCCATTTTCTATTATCTTAAGACTTTGTACGTCTATTAATTAACAACACGCTATGAATTTGTGTGAATTAAGTTGATGAAATGTTGCGTCAAATTGCTAAAAAAACGCTTATTGCAAACGTATGTTGTCTTGTCATTCTGTTTTTATCATGAAACACTTGAAGATGGGTTGAAATAACAATAATTTGAATATTTTAGTGATTTTTGTTATTATTTAAAAAAATAATTTTATTAAAAATACAAATTATAAAAATTTACAAAAGAGTATTAAAAATGTTTTTTTTTATTTTGTTACACACGACTGAAAATTAAAACATCAACTTTTTTCATATTTTTAAATCAAACAAAACAAAAGTTCCAATGTGTTAAACAAATAAGTTTCACAGTTTTAATTATTATTCATTAAATTTAATTTAAAAATGAACTAATTAAAAAGCAAAACTTACATTGTAAATTTGATGGAAAATCAAATCAACTCACTGACAACTCAATGTATAAAAATAGAAAAGGAATACACTGCTTTAAAAAACATGAAAATGGAAACGACTTTTGTCGACGAGGAGTCACTTTCGTTATCTCAAAGGCTTTCTAACGCAGAGGGATTTTACGACAGAATAGAAGAAACCTTTTTGAGAAGACAACTTGTGAATGATTCATACATTAAACTTTTTGAAGAATTAGACATCATTACAAAACAATTAAAAAGTGATTTTTATGAATTTTCAAAGCAAACTAAAGAAACCACTGCGACTGATTTAATAAATCTTCAAATCTTTTTAATTGAAGAAATATACAAAAACAAGACCAAACCACTTGAAGAACAACTTTTAAACATCAACACTGAAAAAATGCTAAAAATAGACCAACTAAAAAATAGTAAAATCAACACATTAAAAACCGAAAACATTAAAATTATCGAAACGCCTTTTCTTGTATCTCTTGAAGATAAAGAACATTTAGAAAATCTAATGAACAAGAAAATCACAAAAGTTGTGTTTAACAGTGACGTAGACGACTGGTCTCATGACACGTCTGTTTTTGACACAAAAATTAGCAACAAAAGTAATTTGTGCTTTTTAATAGAAGACACAAACAACAACAAGTTTGGTGGCGTGTTTACTGGTTTTGTCAAAGTCACAAACAAATTTGTTGTGAATGACAACACTTTCATATTTTCATTAACAAGAAACGGAAAATTTGAGCAAAAGAAGTACCAAGTGAGACCAAAAGGTGGCGCATTTCATTTATATTCAAAAAATGATCAAAATAAAAAACTTTTTGCGTTTGGATATGGCCAAATAAATGATTATGACATTTGTGTCTTTAAGAAAGGAGTCAATGACAATCATTGTCACCAACACAAATTTGCGGCAAAAGAAGGCGATTTGATTGATGGGAAAACATTTACTCCTAAAAGAATTGTTGTTTATCAACTCGTTGATAATTAACTTTTAAATTTTAAGTTTTTTATTAATTTATTTTATATTTTGACAAATTAATTTTTTAATAATTTTATTTGTATAATAATAATTAAATGAATTAGGTACATATCTGACGTTCATTCTGTTAAAATAATATTAACCTAAGGGTGTCAATCAAGATAATAGTTTTTTATTTGACGAAGGTGAAAGATATTTTTTTATTCAGTTCATTTATATTATTTAAAAACAATAACAAAACAAATACAATAATTAATTTGAATGTTTTATTCATGTGTTAATAATAAATATAATGTTGGCATATGTTTCAACACCTTATAATGCTTTAATAAAAAACAAAATTACCTTGAAATGATGTTTTGTTAATTTAATATAACATATTAATAATGAATACTCAATGCAATGACAATCTATGTATTTTCGAAAATTCAAAAAGTGAAGTTTTGAAGATCGATAAAAAAACGATTGATTAATAAACATATTTGTATTTTTTTGTTTTAAAACGGTTTTCTTTATTTTTCAAAACATATATACACAAGAAACTTCAATACAATATTAATTTTCAACAATAGTATATTTAATTTAATATATTATTTGATGTTTTTGTTGTGTTTTGACGATTTTTAATATGGTAAATTAACAAAAGGCACTTCATAAATTTTCTTTGAAAATACAATGTTAATTATAAAATTTTAAATCAACAGTGGCAGTGCTATATATATCTCTGAGGATGGTAAGTCGTGTAACAAACAAACATTGTCAACACCAACTTAAACATTTAAGAAGAAAAATGACGCGTTTCCATATTCAAAAATAGTCTACAACTAAAATAAACGAGATAATATTATTGTTTATGTTCAAAGAAAAATAATATATGATGTGCTATTATAATATAATAAATATTATTTAAATGTTTTTGGTTTAAACAATTTTACCCTTTCGAAAAAATGAAAAAATCTCTTATGTTTTTACAATTACCACAATGAGCGGCAATATTCATTGTGGTAAATATCTTATTGTAAATATATTTATTACTTATCATGAATAAAAAACAATTTGCATAAAACACGTATTTATAAATACTAAAACAATAACAACACTATATTTAATAAAAAGGACTAATCAAAAATATATTTATAAATAATCTAGGATATTTATTAAAAATATAGCATATATAATACATTTATAAATGTTTATAATTTATTTAAATTATTTATATAGGCAACAAATAACGAAAATATAATTTGTACAACATTTAACCATAGTTTGTATCGATTAACTATAACATTATTTGTGATTATCTTTTTATTTTCTTTTGAAAAATGCACTTAAAAATACTTATTATAATTTGAGATATTATATTTCAAATAAAAAATAGAATATAATAATTATCAATTAAAATCCTTATATTATTGATAATTAAAATATAATAAAGATTATTATATTACAGTAAAACCTCTCATTAAGAGGACCCCTTATTAAAAGAATTTTCTAATTAAAAGACGTTTTAACAAATCAAAATTAATACACTTATTGGGGGGTAAGGAAAATAAAATTTTCATAACCATTATTGAGGGGTTCTATATTCCCGTTTAATCTACTAATGAGAGGTTTACTGTTTTACCATTTTATCTATCAGACATATTTTTAAAATAAATAACATCTTTAATTTGTGACTTATTATGTTAAATAACATTGTTTTGCAATATTTATTGAATAATTATGATATAAAACGCATATTTTTACTAGAAAACATCTTTTTTTTAATGAAAATAATGTTTAATTAAAATAAGTACAAAAACCAAAATTAAATTTCACTTACAAACAATCTTTGATTCTTTTAATCACATTAATTGATAAGAATAGTCGTTAATTTTAAAAACGATTCATGGTAATAAATTATAATCACTATTTTTAAACAAAAAGTGCCTATCATTTTTATAATGCGTGTTAAATTATAACATAAATTTGTTTGTCAAATCTAAAATAAAGTTTTTGTTATTTTTATGTTGGTTTTACATATATTAACGTATCAGCTTCCGATGAAATAAAAATATTTTGTCATCCAACATGTTTAAATTTGTTAAAAAACAACAAAAGTAACATTTTTTTCATAAAAAAATAATTTAATGATATTGGTTATTGTTATTTTTTTTGTCTTTTATGTTTTTATTTGTTTTTAACATCAATTGCAATAATAATTAAATGTTGGCAGAAATCTAATAATTTCATTGTTAAATTACAATTGATGAAAATGCAAAATGTTATTACTTTTTTGATTTTTAATAAAAATATTTTCAAAATATAGGGATCTTTAAGATCGTAAATTGGAAAAATATTTTACCAATTTTTTCTCTTTTTTGGTAAACAGGTAAAATGGATTTTATTTCATCCCTATTTATATGATAAGTATTTTTTGTTTATATTTTTGATATTTGAACAAATGTACATTTTTCTAAACAAAAAGTCTAACAGCCAATAATTTAGAAATTTGTAATAAAAAGTTATAGAGTTACTCTAAAAACGTTGTCCTGTTATTTTTAACCCTTAAAACGGGGATATATATGGAAAAAAATTCGAAACTATTCAAAAACATTGTTTCATATTTTTTTGGTTTTCAACATTTTTCCTAATTCCTATTATTTTAAACCAATTTTATGTAATTTTTTTTAATAGGCATCTTTTTTAGACAAACTAAATTCGTTTTTTTATTAAAATATTTTTTAAAAAAAAACTTTTAACTATGAGGAATTTATAACGCTATTTTAAAATGCGAAAGAAAATCAATTGTATTATTTAAACGTGATAGAACTGTTAAAATTCAAATGACGAAGTTATCCGGTTATCACATAATGGTCGTCTCAAAGTACTTTGTTGGTATTAAAGACTTCATTAACACAGAGTTAGTTTGCAAAAAGTTAACTGGTAACATGGAAAAGTTTCACTTTAACCCAATTCCGTTGACTGTTAAAACAGTTGGATACTTTCCAAACATTGAAACACTTTATTTATGGAACAAAAATGACGAGAACTTTGGTAATGGATTTTATGTTGGCATAAATTTCAATGAAGATTTTGAAGACGATGAAACATATGAAGATATTAACAAAAATAGAAAAACTGTTTTACCAAAAATGTTTTATAAAATCGTTGTGTGGTTCAATGTTGATTTTGGAACTGTTGACAAAAACAAAAGTCGAAACATCGAGTTCAAAAAAGTGACTTACACGAGAAACAACAGAATAAAATTTGGTAATGACATACCACCAATGGTGACAAATATTAGTGACAATAGTTATAACAAATGCAGCAGTTTAAGTAGTATTACAATACCATCGAGTGTAACGTCAATTGGTAATAAGTGTTTCTTTGGATGCAGTAATTTGGAAACTATTATAATACCATCAAGTGTGACATCAATTGGCGATAGTTGTTTTTATGAATGTAGCAGTTTAAGTACAATGACAATACCATCAAGTGTTACATCTATTGGAAATTATTGTTTTAGTCGTTGTGGAAGTCTGAGAAGTGTGGTAATACCATCAACACTGACATCACTTGGTAAAGAATGTTTGTTTGGATGCACAAGTTTAAGCAGTGTTACAATACCATCAACTTTAAGACTTATTAGTAATAAATGTTTCTTTGAATGCGGCAAAATAAGCAGTATCTTAATACCATCGAGTGTTTTATCAATTGGTGATGATTGTTTCGGTGGATGTAGCAGTCTGAACGCAGTAGTAATACCGCCAAATGTGACATCAATTGGTTATAATTGTTTCCGTGGATGCATAAGTTTAAGCAGTGTTACAATACCATCAAACGTGTCTTTGCTTGATTACAGTAGTTTTTTTAAATGCAGCAATTTAAGCAATGTGGTAATACCATCAAGTGTGACATCACTTGGTGATAGTTGTTTCAGTGAATGTAAAAGTCTTAGTGGTGTTACAATACCAATAAGTGTGTCCTCACTTGGTAATAATTGTTTCGGTGCGTGCATTAGTCTAAGTACTGTTATAATACCATCCAGTGTGACTTCAATCGGTGATAGCTGTTTCTGTGGATGCAAAGGTTTGAAAAGTGTTACAATACCAGCAACTGTTACGTCAATTTGTCATCAGTGTTTCCGTGAATGCAGTAATCTCAGCAGTGTTACAATACCATCAAGTGTGAAAGCATTAAATAATTGGTGTTTCTATAAATGTAGCGGTATTAAAAACATTATAATCCCATCAAGTGTGACATCAATTGGTGACTGTTGTTTTTTTAAATGCAGCAGTTTAAGTAATGTGATGATACCATCTGGTGTGACATCCATTGGTGATCAATGTTTCTATGGATGCAGCAAATTAAGCAGTCTTATAATACCATCGAGTGTGTCATCAACAAGTGAGAATTGTTTTCCATCAAACACTATCATTTATCGCGAATAATTTGGATAATTGAGTCTTTATGAATTTATTTTAATGAATTAAATAAAAAGTTGGTAAAGTATATTATAGAATGGCAAAATCGATATAATTAATAACACACATTATAGTGATAATTGATGTGCTATTTTATATTGTAAAGTCTTTGTAATAAAACAAAGTGATGGTTCATTTTGGTATAACAAAAACAAAATCTACAAACATAATTGCCCCATTTAAAACAGAAATATCGTTACCAATTCTTTAAAAAACATCTAAAACTTTTATCAACCACATAAACTTTTTACCTGATTTTTTAAAAAAAACTATAAAGTCGACCAGAAAATTGTCGTACACTTCCTAAAATAGATTTGTGTACATAAATTACATTTTTTTAAAGAAAAGTTGATAAAAAATTCTTTGTACTTTTCTCGATATAAGAAATAATTCGAAGCTGTTTTCAAATCAAAAACATTGAACTTTTATTGAAATGTATAAAAAGATTCAAACTGTTTAGACAATATAACATTGAATAAACCATTTATAAACCATCAATAAACTATCAAATTATAAATCAATTATTTATTCCAAATATAGGTGGTTTAATTAATGAAAAAGCGATAAATGTACTATATTAAATAATTAAATATTAATACATTATTATCAAACAATTTGAATTAATAATGTTAATTAAAAATGTTGTATTAAATTTAATAGTATATAAAATTTCTTTATAATATATTAGAACTAGACTAGTATATTTTTATTATGAATTAACATGTAAATTATTGATTTTAGTATGTTATTATTAACAGTATTATTTACATAGAATTTAGATAACCACAATTTATTACAATTTTAACAATCTTATTAATTTACAAATTATTAATTATAATTATTACATCATGAAAACAATCCAAGTTAAACCAAACCCACCTTACGAACATTTCAATTAAGTTTTATGTATTTCTTTATATTTTGAATTAAAACTATATTGCGATTTAGAATTATGGGGTTATGTCGAATGTTAATAATAAATAACTTTGATAAATAACAATTAAACTATTCTTTGAATGTAAAATTTTACAAAAATATATCAATTATAAACTATACTTGTTTAATAATTACAGTAAAACCCCTCATTAGTAGATGTGTTGGGGAAATAAAACCCCTCAATAGTGGTTTTTTTCAAAAACCTTTTTTGTTTTTTACAAACATTATTATTATTTTTTTAGATAAGAAACTTGATATAACCCACATGTAAACACAAGTTAGACATAGCCACGTGATTAAG